TATATATATATATATTACGTGTAGGGTCATGATGCATGTGAGCTCATTGTTCTGCAAAAGTTATACAATAATGTATAATAATATTAGACATAAAATTGGGATGCATTAAAATTTCCTACGTATTATTCTCTCGAAAAATTGAAGGGTAAAATGCGGAGAACTTTTATTAAATATTAATAATAAGCTAAATTATTGAAAGGTATTAAAAAAAAGCATCATTTTACTAGAGGTGAAAGATTTATGCACTCTTAGGATTAATACATGTATTTTTTTCTTAATTTTAATGAATTTATTTTATTTATTTAGGCACTCCTAGGTGATTGCTGCGCTGATCTTGCCTTTCTTCTCCTCCCCCGTCCCCCTATCCCCTCTGTTCTTCGGCTCGATTTGGATTATTGCCTCTTACATCGCCCTCTGTGTGGTAGTTCCTCTTCATCTCCCCTATGTTACGGTATTCTCCACCTTATTTAGCGAGCATTTTGATTTTACAAATATTTAAGTTTGATGGTTTTCCTGGTTTTTTTTTTTTTTCTGTGCTCTTGTCGTTCGATAGTTTTCGGTTGATGTTGGATTTTGGGATTTTTCTGGATTCTTTGTGTTGTGCTTTGTTGATGATTTTGGTTCTTTATTCTATATCCAGTGGATGGATTTGATTTCTATTTGGTCTATTCAGTTGATGTTGTGCCTATAATTTGGTGGCGATGGTGATTGCATGAAGAAAATAATTGAATGCAAATGGGCCATGTGGTTGTTCTATACTGCTCGAGTTTGTGGTGGTGGTGATGGTGTGGTTCTTTCCCAAAATGATGAATTTTATGGTGTGGTGTTCGGGGCGATGATGTTTGGTGTGGAGGTCGTGGTATGTAGTGCAGAGGTGGTGGCGTGTGGTGTTGTGTGTGGATGTGTTGGTGTGTTGTGTGCATGTCTTGATGTGTGCCGTGGAGGTGGTGTTGTGTGTGGTGTGGAGGTGGTGGTGTAGGGTAGTTGTGTGATGTGGAGGTGGAGGTAATTACATTCCCGACTT